TGATAGTGGAGACATTTTAGTCTTTTTAGGCAGTACCTTGATCACAGTAGCTAAGTAGCTGTGCAGAAATCTTGGAATTGAGTCTTGATGAATGAACACTTCATCCTTCAGATGCTGACATTGAGGGTAATTGTATTTCTCTTACTAGAAAGGCAGGAAATAGAGAAGTTCTGGGGCTTGAGTCTGATTTGAAATTGTTTCTGTGTAATTAATAAATTATTTTGGAATGCCAAATAAAATATCTTTGTACAGATTTGATTCCCTGACCTGCATCAAATCTAGCATGTGGACAAAAGCAAAGGACAAAAGCATAGGTAGGAAAACCTGTGACTGGTGACTTATTTTCCTGTGAGAGTTGGGAAGGAAGTCACATTTGTTACCCAAGTTCCTGTCAGTATTTTTAAGGCTTTCTGTCTTTATTATCTTTTTAGAATTGAATTGTATGCAGTGATGCCATTACCTGACTAAATGGTTATAACATGATATCTCAGACATATACTGAGATAAAGCCTAACACATCTTCCTCACCAGCTGGAAGTGGTGTTACGTTTCTAAGATGTCAACAGCATTATCCAGTCGATCCATGTCATAGGAAGTCCAACAGAAGAGAAATGAAAGTGAAAGTAATCAGAGCTGTACTTCCTATTAAAATGTAATAAACCACATCAAAATAAACTGTTTTCCCCTATCTTTCTGCATCTCTCCTCTTTTTTCCTCTTTCCCTCTTTCTCAATTCTTTTTGCACTTCATCTTCTTAATTTCTTTCCCCCATTTCAGCAGTAGCCTCTGAAAACAGTCAGGCTTCACTGAATGCAGGTGAAACGTATGTATGTGATGGCTTAGGTCTCTGCTACTAATGCTGGTAGTTGAGTGGCTGAGGATGAGAACAAATTATGTATTTACACTGCAATTATAGGAATTATATGGCTTACTGTCTAAGTACCATTCTGCATCATGGTAATTATCATGATACTAAATAGCTGAGTGTCATCATTGAAGGAACACAAGTCATTACCACAGTCTACATATGATAACTCTTAAAGATAATTGCTATGTAATCTTTAGGTGATTGAATTATCATGCAGACCCATGTGCATGCTGCCAGCACAGCTCTGCATAAAAAAAAAGCGGCTTAATCAAAGATTACTGCTGTTTCTTTTTTTAATTGAATGATGTTCGAAACATGGCAATTCCTGGCCAGGTTTGGGGAAGCTGCATTTCCTGAGCTCTCTGAAGTGTGTGATAGGAATTTTCTTCAGTGAATGATGTGAAGAATATGTATACATAACTGCAGCAATGGCATAGGTACAAAAGGAATATATGCTCACCTTTTCATAGGCAGCATGTTGTAAATCCACAGACGCACAGAAGTCAAGCCATTGTCCTGATCAGCAATGGATCAGATGCAGGACTGTTAACAGAGCTTGTGCAGATGTTACAAAGAGGTACCAGCTGGCCTGAGGGTAAAGACAATATAACTCATACAGGGTTCCTTGAACCATCAGGAAGTAAATTTAACAAATGATTATGGAAGAAAGTCTTCCATTGTATAAGGAATAATATTTTTACTATGTATATTTGTTATAAAGGTTGCTTAAGCTGCAGTGTTCAATTTTGTTTCATTTGTAGCATTGTTCAAGGCAGACATATGTAGATTCAAAAGAGCATAATCTGTATAGCAAATTTGCTTTACAGAGAAGTATGAATTTTGTGATAGCAGAGAGACTTGCATGTGGATACTTTTTCTATAAACAGATTTCATGCTTTTCTAAATGTTGTTTTAGAAAAGTACATACAAAAATCTCAAGGAGACATTCCCTGCCTCTCTTGGCATCTTGTAAGGCAAGCAAAAAAAATAGGTTGATGCAATCTCTCTTACAATATTTTTCTAACCATTTTCTTTGTTTCTTCAAAACAAATTCCAGAAGTAATGTATTTACTTGAGTCATGAGAATGTACAAGATAACCTTACCTCTGAAACTGCACAGTGTTGCTTCTGAATACAGACTCAGAGTATGAACCAGGGTGGCCTCATTTCTGCGAGCAACATCTGTGTCTGTGCCTGAGAAAGCATTTGCTCCTTGCATGCTGATGACATTTTAATGGATTTCTTGCACTGCAAATGCAACATGCCATTCGGATATTTAATTTTGAGCTGATTTGACTTCCTGGAATTTGTCATTCAGAAAAATCGATCAGGCTGAGACGCTTAGTTCAACTTACAGCTTATGATTGGAATGTGTATTGAAAAGTGTATTTTATAAACAAAAGTGGTATTTCTAGCATGTATTGTTACATTCTTATATATGAGAGAGATATCCTAATAAATATGGGATATTGCAGTCAATTGATAGTGCTTATGTTTTATGTACTGAATAGAATTTCTTCACTATTTAGTTGGCATAAATAGTAAGGGGGGCAATGTTTATCATCTCATCAAAAGCCTTTGCAAGTTTAGGGAGATTTGGAATAGGTTCAAGTTATATGGTTGAATCTCTTCCATTGAAGAATGCAACTGCTAGCAACAAATCTGTCACCGGTGGGTCTGAGTGTCTTAGTTTGTTATCTAATCAGAAGCAGAGATGAACAGAGACTGCATGATAATTGTGCAAATAACATCTCCGTCTATGTGTCTTCTTTCTAATGGCAGTAAGAGTCTATAATTGGTGCTTCTAGTTAAGTGATGCAAGGAATGGGAGATATACATGGCACAGGTTTTATTACTAGCCTAGTAGTTAAGGGTGAGAAAATAGAAGAGTTGACATATGGTTCTATATCACTTGAAGGAGTGATTGGAAAATTCTTCCCTTATACCTCTTTTCCACAGACATGGAAGTGGGTCATTGTGATCCATGAAAGTCTATGCATTAAAAAAAAAAAAATACATAAATCTTGGCCACTGGGAAGATCCTTCAGATCTCTCAGTGGTTGTTGACAATCTGCTGCTACTGATTCTCTTGTGTTAAAGAAACAGTGTGACACAGAAATGCATTGCATATGCCTATTAATCTTTCAGAAAAGAAGGGACATGTTATGGAGACATGAGGAAACTTTCATTATAGATCCTGTGTCCTCATTCTCCTAGAACTCCTTGACTTCCCCAGGAAGAATTTTATGGAGTCTTTGGCTGCTGTGAATAGAGAATGAAAGTTGATTTTCTTGGACTTTTTTCTGATCAGATGAAGCAGAGTGATGAGACTTGGTTCCCAGGTTTAACGCAGCTTTCTTTGACATGGTTAATGCTCCTTTTGTTAATACTAGTGGCCTTTGTAACTGAGCCAGTGTGTGAGTATGAGTACAACATAGCATGTCTTAGGTGTGGATCTCAGCTAGAGTCTGAAATACATACACTTGATGCTGGTCTGCAGAAAATATTGCTTATCTGTAAAACTCTTTACCTTAAAAAGCAGCAGCATTGTGAAGGTAAAATCACAAGCTGTGATGATCTGTGCAGCCCTGAGATACATAAATTTATTTTTAGGATAAGTTAGGTGGACCTGTCAGTCAACAACTGTCCACTGTCATGCTTCCCCCGTATCAGTCTTAAGAACTGTTAACAGAGTTTCTGCAAGGTAGCAAAGTCCCCCAATTCTGCATTTTGTAATAATCCCAAGAGAGTCAATGGGTTGTGTCAAGTGAGGATAATGACTTTATTGTGATTATACATACAGATTTATTGGAGATGTACAGATGACAAATGGTTATGTCAATCAGAAACAGATATCACATACTACATCAGCATGCAGAGACTCACAGTGTCAGCAAAACAAATGACCTGGAAGTAATAGAGGACTATTTATTATAGTAGTGCTTTGTGGGGAAAATCCTGAATGATGGAAGCATAATGTGTTGGTCTTTATATCTGAAAACTTGTTATGCTCAGTGATGTAAGGATGTATGAATAGGCATCATGAATCAAAATGACTGTGAGCCTCCATCTCAATTGGGTGTGTTTTAGTTAATGAATACAAGATGGGTTGTGGATTTTTTTGACTGAACAATGAAATAGATACCATTTATGAAAGGCTGGTTGTGGTTTTATATACTTTTCTCTGGAAAATAAATGTTAAACATCATGAAGCTTGATTAAATGGTCTTCTTTGACATTCAAAGAGCTCTTTTATCACTGTGAAAAATATTTCTGGAAATTACAGAACGTGAAAAAGCAACCTGTACAGATGCTGTACATAAGCAGTTTTTTGATAGCAATTAAGGTCCCAACAGTATTAAAAATTGACTCAGCAGACAGTTCTGGTGGTTCTTAAATTCTCATGGCAGAGATGGATGTACAAGTTTGGTTGGGCTGTTCTCTGAAACAGGGTGTAAAATACTGTTCCAGAGATTCATTGAAAAGCATTTTCTAAATGTGTGTTTGACGTATGTTGTAAGAACAAAGAACAAAGCCAGACCTGGAACAAAAATTAGCCCAAATGACAGATTTTTTTTTTTCTTTTGTTTTTCTCAAAATTACTTAAGGCCATAGCTAACGTGAGATTTCCATATAAAACTGAACTAAACAAGGTTTATGCCTATGGTTCACATATAGCTTGGGGAATCTTTCAGAATTGCTAGGCAATTTCTTTGGGCTCAAGTTTTACTGCTTGTAATCTTCACAGATACCTATACTGGATTTTAAAGAGGTATCACATGAATTATTAATGACTGCTCAGAAGTTTGTCTGTCTTTTTCAACTATAATTGGGAAAGTTTGTATGGCAGCAAGTGTATTTGAAAGAAACCAGAAGATGTTGAGTACAGCTGTAGTATTTATCCCCCTGAATATGCTTTTTTTTAATATGGTATGGATTAAATTTATGTCTTGCTTGGTTCCTACTTTTTATAGTATTAAATTATAGCCAAGAGAAAATATATTTACAATGCATATCACACTTGAATGTTTTTTATTCTCTACAGGTATAATCTACATACAGCACATCTGATTTTCCCGTGGCCATGGGAATATAGTCACTCATCAACAGTGTTGTTTGCTTTTTCCTTTAGGGGCTGATGTTATCAATTTTGATGGCCATGTAGTGTTACCATACAGATTCAGGAACAAGAAAATGAAAACACTGAAAGATGTCATCTCTCTGAAATTTAAAACCTCTGAAAGCGAAGGTGTAATCTTCCACGGAGAAGGACAGCAAGGAGACTATATCACCTTGGAACTGAAGAAAGCCAAGCTTGTTCTAAACTTAAATTTAGGTATGCTTTGGTTGTTTAGCTGTGGGTACTTTTTAACTCTCCCACAACAAATTTATGTTAAATATTGCATCCTTTTTTCCCCCCAGTAATATGGTAAATCACATCATTTTAATTAGGTAATTTGATGACAATGGTGCTCACTCCCTTTGTATATGATTTTTTTGATTGTTTGTTCTATTCCTTCCTTTTTACTGTGAAAATAAGATTATACAGAAAACCAGGATCAGCAATATATTGTAGTTAGAAACTTGCAGCAAACAAAAAAGCCGGGCTAGAATTACATTTGGCTTCAGCTGAGGCTTTGTGTGAGAGAAGGATGCTGTCGTCAGTGCTAGAGAAACAAAGGTCACCTTTGGGAACCTTCAGCAAAAAAGTATCAATCTGGGCAGCAGCAGACCACATGAAGTTGAGGTTCAGCAGCCTTCCTAGAATATGAGAAGGAGGACTAAGAAGGAAGACATACTGGTTTATCAGGCAGTCGTATGATGAGATCCTGTATACATTACTTCCAGCACCCTGTTCCCTCCCAGTGAAAGACTACAGGCTCATGAGTGACTGTAGTTATAAAGTACATTTATTGTACATTTATATGAAGAAAGACACATTTATCTGGTTTCAGTTTGGTTTGGGCTTTTTTTTAACTTCAGACAAGAGAGTTTTAGAAAAAGGTTCCATGAAGCTTTCCTTTGTTCTCTTACAGACATGTGAAGAGTAAATTATTCTGTTCGTTATTTACATTGAATAGTAATTATTTCCACTAGCATTTTCTCCTTTTCTTTTTCGAAAGATCAATGTGAGCAGATGATGAGGAGGAAATCATATCTTCTTATAGCATTTAGCTATTTTTGCAATACTAACCCATTCATTTCCAGTTTCTCCATAACCTTCAGTCTGTCTTTATAAGCTATTACAACTTCCATATATGTGCTTGGTGGGGATGATCCTAAGTCATGGCAGATAAATCAGAATGGGCCCTGTGACACACACTCAATAGACTGAAGTAATAAAAGTAATGGTTAGTGGTGTTATTCTTCCCCTTCCTGAGGGTGTGTTGTATTTGCACCAGTCAGTGGACAGAGATGTTCATTTTGCCTGGTGAAATCCAGAGGCATAGTTTTAAACATGGGTGATGGAGGCAGAGGAGGAATGGGGAGGCAGGGTAGGATTTAGGTTTCACTTTGCCCTGGGTTTGACACCGAATTGAAGAAATTAAGGCTCATGCATGGCTTGATTTCTTTACGTAGTTTCTAACCAACAGCTGTTGAAGGGTCAGTGGCCTTCAGCAAAAAGGCAATGTGGTCATTTGTACGGGAGTAATGTCTGTCTTCTTAAGCCATGGAAGTGTGATTTGCCAGAATGTGTTAGCAACATGCACAAACCTTAATGCCCGATTTGCAGGCATGCTTGATGGCAAGAAATTCTCAGCTCCAGAAATGCCTTAGGTCCTCGTGTATTCAGAACATGGAAGATTGTACTGAGTTATTGGGCAACACAGCATTTTTTCTTAACTTACTGCTGTATTAGTCATTTGCTGCTTCAGCTGAGATGCATGGTCTCAGTCTTTGCTGGCTTAGCTATGTCAGTCAGATTGCAAAGAGGCGTGATCTCTCACTTGCATAGCTGTACTGGCAAAAGCCCCTGGAAGACACAGCAGAGAACTCCAAAACCGTACTCTTGCCAGTAGTCTGATTTCCAGAATAGGAAAGTTGCTGCAGGAGAAAAGGCTGAAATAAGCTATGTTAGCAGAAGACAGTTTTTGCTACTGTTAGCTCAGTCTGCACTAAGCCTTTTCGTATACGCTCACTGGTGTAGCTATACTGGCAGGTCCTACAAAGTGTAGAACTTAAGCTGAAAAGGCTGTTTCCAAAGTCTGTTGCCAGGCACCATGTGCTCCTCAAAAGTCATAGATCAGTACAGTTCCAGGGAATCTCAGGACCTGGCTCAGAGGTGACAGCTTTTCATTGCAAACACAATACACCCTCAGGAAGGGGAAGAATAACACCACAAACCATTACTTTTATTACTTCTGTCTATTGAGTGTGTGTCACAGGGCCCATTCTGATTTATCTGCCATGACTTAGGATCATCCCCACCAAGCACATATATGGAAGTTGTAATACCTTATAAAGGGGTGAAAATGCAGAAATCCCCTAGCATTCCCTAGATGAAAACGTCTTTATGACTGAAAAATTGGTACTGCTTCTCTGGTTCACCTCCGTATAACTACTGTTACAGGTAACTGTTCATACAGCTCACTGATCAGATACCTGGTGTGTTTGGTCTAGCTGTTTGTATTTGTGGCAGCAACTCTCCACTGGACAGATCTCAGCTTCATAGTGGACTGACTTTCTCCAGCTTATTATGTGTCTGGTATGATTCAGGTGAAATATTGACAGAACAAGAGGAAGATGTTTGGTTGACTGGTATGAGGTGAGAATTGCTGTTGTTTCTATTCTCATGTTAGGCAGCAACCAGCTTGGCTCTATTTATGGCCACACATCCGTGATGACAGGCAGCCTCTTGGATGATCACCACTGGCACTCCATCATCATAGAGCGCCATGGGAGAAACATCAATCTCACCCTTGACAGACACATGCAGCACTTCAGAACCAATGGAGAATTTGATTACTTGGACCTGGATTATGAGGTAGACATTGAAACTTGTTTGTTTTCATTCAGTTGGCTTTATAAAGATTAGTCCAATAAGAAAAGAAAATGAATATAATTTAAAATGTTTTGGGACCTTTTTTTGTATATTTATTTTTATTATTTTTCCCTAACATTTCCTGAAATATTCTTTTCAGCTCTGTTCTCTTTTAAGTGTAAATGAAGTTTCTCTTCATTAGCCTTCCAGATTCCATCTGGTGGAAAAGTCATCTCAGCCTTTTGTTTTAAAATGAGAGATCTATGTTCCTCAGCAGGCTTAGCTGTAAACGCAGCTGCTGTAAGTGGGAACTAAATTAAAGAAACATCATACAATCTGCTGTCGCATTCAGGTGATAGTTTTTCACTGGAATAAAAAAAAAATCTCATTCTGTGGTGACAATTAGTATTTTTATTTAGCAAAGCAAGCAGATGAGAACCTTTTTACTAATATGGATCTTGATCTTTCCTAGGTAGGTACTTCCTTGCATTTTCATAAATACACCATCAGTAACTTCTTTAAATAAAGAAGCAGTAAAGAGTGATGCAAGTCGTACGGAAACTTTCGTTTGATCAGTCAGATTAATGCACACAAGTGTTGATAAAACTTAGATGTGGATTTGTTGTTTGATTGCACTCTGCTTCTGCTATTGTGAACTTGTTTGGTTCCTTTAAATTGTTATTCAGACTTCAGCATGTTATTACAAACTTTGTATAATGGTTTTCTTTACTGTTTCTAATGAGCCAAATACATGTATTTATGTCCTTGCAACTTTTTAAAGAGTGAGAGGGCATCAACATTGACTCGCATATTGATAGTTTTATGATCTTTTGATCAAGAATATAATGCGAATGTTTAAAAAAATAGTATTATAAATGAATCATTTTACTTATATCCCAACAGATCTTTATGAATGCCTTCTTTGGTAGCATTAGAATGAGAAAATAATGAGCAAATTTGCCTATACTTCTGTTACTTATTGAGCACTGAACATCTGAATCGGGCTTCCGAAAACTCACATAAATAGATTTATTAGAGATTTTCAAGGAGCCAACTACAGAAAAATTAGGCTGAATATTACAAGCCAGGGCTGGGCAATTTAAATATATAGATACCCCGCATATATATATACACACACATGGGCACACATATACAAATACATATGTGTGTGTGTGTATAGACACACATGTATGTAGCATGTTTCCATGAGTAATACATTGCATACAGTATATTTACACCTAGTAAGAGTAGGATCCAGGAGAATCACCTTCCTCTCTTCTCTAACATTAGAGGCCTCACTGGCAGTTCTCAAAGACACATTTCAGTCTCTTATGTTTAATGGAACTTACTTGAATGGGTATAGATACATGTTTCTATGGTTCATGCAAATGCAGGAGCCTTAACCTGTTCTCATTCCTTTCCTCTCAATTATCTCACTGGTTTTGGAGTTAGTTAGCACAGATAACATTTCAGTGTGTTGCCCTTGTGGTAAAATAATCATGGTGGATAAATCTGGAAGAGTAAAAATAATTTTTCATCAAAAAAAGCTTCCAGGTTACAGTCAGAAATGTTAAGTAAGCACAAAAAAGGAATAAACATCAGTTCTGATTGCGTTTCAAGATCAAAAAAGAAAATCCTCATGAGTCCTTAATGTCTTGGTTCGTGGTTTTTGCAGTTTCGATCCTTTCCTTCAAAATGCTTACCTTTCCATTTTCTCTTGTCCAAACATATGACTACAACATACAAAAGAATTAACATTAATGGTTTAACAGCCATTAAAATGTCACAGTCACATTCTCCAGTTCATGTAAAGTGGTGTGTCTGCTCTAAAGTCAAGTCATGTCCCCTTATAATACCTGAGGATGTGTCCCGCAAAATGCTTTCAAATGGCTGTGGTGCGTGCTGTTCATGAAGATTCAGGTTTTCAGCTGTATAGCTGTATATGCCAAGTCAAAACCTCCTCTTTGGGGTAGAAAGTGATAATCTTACATGCTTTTAAAGTGGAAAATGTGTCCCTAGAGCTGCGTTTTCCTGCTGTCAGTAGTAACAAATGGAATTAACAATGAATAATATTTAAAAGCTTGGCTCTGCCAAACCTCAGCAGCAGATTATAAGTAGACATTTTTGTGAGCATCTGTGGGACCGGAAGACTAGGTGTCATTGCTATTTATGCCATCATCTATTGGACATAAATATTTAACATAGATTGCAAGGATTAATCTCATGAGTCCCTTATTCTTCACATTTGGGCTGCAAAACATTAATGAAAACGTGTAGCCTTTATTCACTTCCAAGCATTTCAGAAAAGACCCTAATGTGGTAGAGACCTGTATAGTCTCTATGGAGTGACAGGGAGAGACTTCATGAGATGAACATTTTTAGTTAGTAAACCACTTGGTTTTCTTCATTCTTTAGCAGTAGCGATTCTGGATAACCCAGTGTTTTAGGGTAATGAAATTCAGCATTAAGAGAAAAACAGTCCCTGTTTGACTCTGATGGCTGAGTCTTTACAGTGGCTGTCTTCATCTCCATGGAGGTCATTCGGCCTATGGAAGTCATGCGGTAACTCCTCATTGACTATAACTACATCATAAAAGCATGTTCTTAGTGGTGGAAAGTGCTTCTGTCTAACACAGAATAGCATTTTTAACTATGTGATTCTGTAAAATGCAGCTGGATGAAGTAGATGTATAAGCGTTAAAGGAAACAAATGGTATTGGAGCCCACTGCTGCTGTGTTGTAGTCTGAGCTCTGGCACGCAGTTAGAACTGAATGAATGATTTGAATCAGATTATCCAGCTAATTCCTTGTCTACTCTTGTCCAGAAAAATACTGGAATGGACATGTATTCTAAGTTCTTTGTTTCAAATGCATGTTGTTCAGTAGCAATCAGAAGTTCAGTTGATAGATGAATAACTGTGATGTCTGTTTGGACAATTGTAATGATAATTGGGATTTACTACCATAAATGTTTGCAATCAGAAATTCATTACAGATATTTTTCCTGCTTTTGCAGAGCTTATTTGATACTTCTCTTTTCTGCAAGCAGTACTGCCAGCTCTCTCATTCACTGTGTTCGAGTGTTCAAAGAAAGAAAATACTTCTGCAGCAAATTTGTGTAAAAGTCTTTGCCCTCCAGTAACTACCTGCCATTTTCTGTTTCATTTAAAGATAACCTTTGGAGGCATGCCGTTTTCTGGGAAGCCAAGTTCTAACAGCAGGAAAAATTTCAAAGGCTGCATGGAGAGCATCAACTACAATGGCAATAATATCACTGACCTTGCCAAAAGGAAGAAATTGGAACCTTCTAATGTGGTAAGAGCATAATTTAATGGTCATCTACAGTTCTGCTTCTCCATCAAAGGAGACTAGAAGGTTTGTGAGTTGTGTATCTGGTATCCTTCTGGTATACTGGAATGATATAGAACACAAACCAAATTTTATCACATACCCAAGGATCTTACTGTATGTGACTTCTTTTTTATTATTATGTCTGAGCACTTTATTTCTGGGGTCCCATTTCATCCTTCCAAAATTAACTTTCAGTATCAGATAATTACTTTTTGAAAGAAAGTAAGCTGAACCAGTAAGTACTTCTTTCCTTTCCTCTCAAATTATAGTAGTCCAAATCCAACACAGGCTTTACTATTAAATCAATTGCAGCTTTCTTGTGGCTTTAAACTCTGGTATCTTCCATCCCTGCAGAGCTAGTTGGATTGCTGGAGTGCAAAAGTCGTTCTCCAGGCCTCTCTGGTAACTCTGAAAAGCCTCAATACATTAGACTTGGAAATCATTATTTAGCTTATTAACATTACACAGCTTATGAGCATTTTATTCTATCTTTTTCTCTTGCTTAAACATTCATAGTTTCTTTCATGTTCAAACTTGGGACTTTATGGGCAGAACGATTAAGAAAGAATGTACTTTAATTACTGTATTTTTAAGGCTCTAAATGTTCCTAAAATTGCTTGCCTGCACACAAAGGCAATGTGGGTAAGAAATAAATGTATTATTGCCATGAATTTGAGACAGTCTGAATAAGTTGTTCAAGACTTTCTCCTATACAAGTTTACAGCATTCACAAACTGCTGCTAAGTATATGTATGGTTCCACTATTGCTTTTCTCTTTATGTAGTAAAGAGTAAAGATCTACATATGCAGCAATGATGAAGTGCAAAGGATTGATTATTTGCTTACTCCTTGGTTAGTAATACTGAAGCATTACTATGCATATTGTAATACTGAATAATTACTATACATAGTAATACTGAAGTATTACTATACATACTCTTACATATGAACAATATGGCTAGATGGTCAAGGTAGCATGAAGGATAAGTCTGAGCATGTGGTGTTTGCCTGTACAAACTCAGTAATACAGCCTGGCAGTTAGAGCTTTTTCTGTGCATTAATTTCTCCAGTGTTCTCACAGGCAAAGAGCATGGTACATGTGCCATGGAGGAAGGCTCCCCTTTTAGAACTTTTTGCACCAGTTGCATAAACTCCAGAATCTTTGGCTTAACTTGTTTTCCAAAATTGCCTGTAATTTCCTTTCTGCAGTGCATTTTAAGCTTGTGAAGTAACCAAGATTTTCAAGCATCTTTGTACAGAAACAATCTTTCCATATGACACAGTCGAGCCCACCGCAAGTTGGTAGAACATATTCTTTAAACCTCTTTCTGAGCAGAAGTGTTGCTTAAGAGGTGTCTGTAGTGCAATTCCTATCCTTTCACAGGTGTGACATAGCTAGCAGGACCGAAAATTCTATGCCAGATAATCCCTGGTTTTTATTTGTTTGTTTTTAAAATTGTTGCCTGTAACATGAAAGTAAACTCCACATAAGAAGCTTCAGTAGTGTTAGTGCTACATCAGGAGGCTATGGCATGCTAGCTTAATTTGATGGTGCTGTTGATTTCCAATTCTAAGAATGGCTATAAAAATAGAAGTGAGCTTTGTTTTCAGTAGAATTACTTAAATCGCTTCAGCTCTTCAAAAGCAAAATCAATTTTAATCTAACTAAATCAACATGGATCTTTATGTATCTTACAAAAGGTGTTTTTTTTTCTCCTAGTTTTTAGTTTGATTTACCATGAAAAATAGGCTCGATCGAGAGCACTGTTGTCGTTAATCATGTTTATGATGATGGCACTTAAGCAATCCAACAAAGATCAAAGCTCCGTTATAGCAGATCCTATACAAACCCACAACAGTAGGCACACCCTGTCCTAAATGGTGTATTATATGAAGAGACAAGACAGACAAATGTAATGGTGTGGAACACAGGCAGAGTAATCAATATGGTGATGAGAAGTATCATAAGGTGGGGAAAAAAACAGAGGGAAGAAGGATGTTAAAGAGGTGTGTGGCAGAAGAAAAACTATTCTTAGATACAGGCAGTTGAATTTCAGAAATCACATAGTGAAAGGGACTTGACAAGTTAATTTTACAGAATGAGGAGGCCCAGAGAATCAAAGATGATAATAAGATGATAATCTTGATTTTTTTTTTTAGGTCTCATATACATAGGTATATGAGCAAAAAAAAGCATCACCAGGCATCTCTTTACTGAAGAGGAAGGATGTAACGACAATTTAAAGTACTTTAAACTTAAAGAAAGTCCATCACTGACTTTAATAGTGTATTTCTTTTAGAGGATAAAAATAAGGGGGAAAAATCCACAATCCTTTGTAACTGGTAAAATGGCAACAGCTTACTGGGGTGGATGAGTCAGATGAATGGTCATAAACAGTTATTGTTCTTATTAGTGGAGCCTGATTTGTTTTCATAGAAGATAAATGACACAAATTATAAAGATGCCCAAAAGGGAGAGTCAGGGGAAAAGAACAGCCAGGACAGGGAATGGAAGGGTCTGCTTTTCTTCCGAACCAAGCTGCAAACAAGAGTTGGCAGTGACTAACTAGCGCAGTAGGTGCTCACTGTTGTATATAGCTTGACTCAGGACTAACACAGAAACAGGAAACATGCTTGTAAACAACCTTCCAGTCTACTTTTCTGTATTTTCTACTAAAATATAACAAGCCTTGTAGGAATTTCATTATCTTGCATAACTGAAGAATATTGACCCTTACCCCAGTAGTGAGAAGAGGCTAGAATATGCAGCTAACAAGAAGTAGCCCAGAGAAATTTGAGTTTAGGAATCTAGTCACTTTATCAAACCCATCCAGACGTATATTAAGAGCAAGCAGTGTGAATACTGATTTGATTTAGTTTCTACAGAACAGACTCTACATTTTTAAAGCCTGTAACTGAAAACTGGTGAGGAGAATCATATTTGCTACCCTTCATTTTTACGTCCCCTAGGTCTATGCTCCACCCAATTGTGTAGCTCCTGTGCCCTGTATTACTAAGTTCAGTCACATATAAACTTAAGATGACTCTTCGTTACATTATTTACGTTGAGTGAACATTGTGTTAAGCTTAAAGATGAATAATAAGGTATTTTGAGAAAAGTACTGAAATAACACGATAAACATTAGCATACATTGCCAGTAAGGTATGAACCTCATTTACCAGGTATTGCAGTCTTAACAAACTCATTATTTTTCATTTGGGAGCAATGCATTCAGCCAGTAGCTCTATTAATTGGGAAAGGATTTAAGACCTGGTAGTAGTTCCATGAGGGGTAATATCTGATTGTGGGTAAGCAAAATTGGTTTATAAGAAGTAAACATGGTGCTAATTTTCAAGACAGATTAAAGATCATTATACAAAGCTCACGAGACCCAAATTAAGGTCTTTTTACCATTTCCCTTCCAATGTAGTATGAAAAATTCTCTGTTAAGACCAGTAGTTTCAATATAAATGCACAGTATATTTTTGACTATGAGATGTCATTGCCAAGAGAACTATCCAGCAAGAAACTCTGAATCTATAGAAAAGGATCTGTTTCTCTTTGAAAAACGGGGATGTCTTTATAGAGACAAGCTGCAGATTAGTTCTAACTCTTGACTTTGAGCTAGTGAGCAAACTATATCAGATGGGCTGTATTTCACAGTCAAAGAGGGAATTGATAATCCTGTTCAGATTAATGAGTAGCTCAGTAGGGAAAATACTAACTAGGAAAGAAATTAGAATTATATCTTGACTTCGTCAAGAAATCTTTTATGTGGTTAGGCTGGTGATGGTGTGAAAAAGGATTTGAATACATTTAGTGTCATTAACATTTATAGGTGTTATACATGCAAGTATCCAAAGCATCTGGATGACAGGAGAGTGTCAGTTAGATATGAAAGCCGCCTTGTTACGAGGAAATTGTTAGTTCCTCTCGGTAACAAGGCAGAAAAAGAAGCTCTTACAAATGTCTAATAAGATGCTTTCTGAGCATTACTTAATTGGAATCTAACTGAACTGTGAGATGTCAGCTCTTATGAATTGCTGTTGCCTTCTGTATCTCCACAGGACTGTGTAGCTGAAGTCGTGACTGTAGTTGTGACCGTAGAATGTTAACAAAGGGTTGCAGAGGGTATTTTAGTCACTCTCCAGCTTATTGTTTTTCAGTAATTAAAATCTGTGGTTTAAGCAAAAATATTCTGTGCACACTTGGAAATACTGAGACTAAAACTTGTCAAACAAACGAGTTAACTGTTTGGATTTAATGGCTAGTTGGCTAAAAACTTACAATCTCTAGGCAATTTTTAAACAAAAAACCCCACTCAGAATAGCCAAGCACCTTTGCAACAAAGGAGTTAAGTGGAGGTCCTTTGCCTTTTCTGAGACAATAGTTGTACTTTTGCTCATCACACTGTAATGAAAAAGTTTCCTATACTTGTTTTAGCTGATTATTTTCCTAAATTCTTGGCTATTTTCTGTTACCCATTAAACACAGGTGTATGAAAAGAACATGGTTTGTAATGCTGAGGTTTGATGATAAAGATAGGAGTGAATCCTTTAGGAGATCAGTATGAAGAAATCTCTAGTTCCCTATTATTCCAAACATCTTCTTAACTGATGATGGAGGCTGCCAAGCTGGTAATCTGGTCGGTACCAGTTCTGCTGGCCTTTATGCGTGAGCTATTTTAAAGCTTTGCAATCAATAAAGTTGACTGGATTTCTGTCAGTGTCCCAAAGAGTAAAATTTTGAAGTGTGAAAACTGCACTTTCTTTTACAGAGAAAATTACTGAGTTACTACAAACATCGTGCATTGATCATGATCATGTACTCCAAATCCTTCTATTTGATGAAATGAAGTATTAGCTTATCTAGTATTATCTAGTAGAAAACACAACAGAGGCTGGCTCTCCATGAGGTATTATATGTCCTTTCACAACTTCATGTACTGTATTGATTGACACATTGATATAATGGTATTTGGAAAGCTTTATTTCATTTTTGTAAAAGGAGGAATTACTGCTCTGTCGTAGGCATCTTTGGTGGCCACAAACAAGCTGGAGTTTCTCTGTGATTAATTTCTGCATCTTTGAATTTGGAATTTTACTGCTTTTATCAAATCTTTATCTTAGAATTTAAATGTGTAGGGCAAAGACTGCCTCTTATTGTGTATTTGCTCAGAACAGAATACAGGGGGACCATTGCTAGACAAAACAGAAACATCAGCAGCAACACTGTAATAGCAACACTAACAATAATAATAGTAATAGCACATCTTTACGTGCAGCTTTCATCAATCACAGTAGTCAAGGCTTAATAAAACCGAGAATACTTTTCTAGAGGTTGCTATGAATGTAGTGGAGTCTTACATTTTGCTTATGTTTTTGCTTCTTTTCTTCTGTTTTACTTAGGGAAATTTAAGTTTTTCTTGTGTGGAGCCACATACAGTGCCTGTCTTTTTCAATGCAACCAGTTACCTTGAGGTTCCTGGTCGTCCAAGCCAGGACCTGTTTTCAGTCAGTTTCCTTTTCCGAACCTGGAATCCCAATGGACTTCTTGTCTTCAGCAACTTTGCAGATGACCTGGGGAACGTTGAGATCGACATAAATGAGGGCAAAGTCAGTGTCCATATCAATGTCACCCAAGTAAAGAAGAACCGAATAGACATCTCATCAGGTAAGTGTTGTTTTATTTTAATTGGTATCCTTTTTCTTGGTGTTGTTTAAAAGCATCATGGACCTAAAATTAGAACAGTCGTTTTACCACACTTTAACTGCATTAAATCCTGTTTCATTGAGTAAGAGGTAGAAGAATATTGAAACAGTTGCTAGATTAAAAAAAGAAGACACAAATATTCTGTTGTGAAACCCAGCCAAGGTATTGCCCCTTATCTCTGAGGCAGCATTGCTTCTATTTTCCTTCCTTCCATCTGTCTTGCAGTCTTCTCTACAAAAGTATTTGGTTTCAAAGGAGGAGGGTATTTCCATGTTAAGAGTGGCCTAATAATTAGGCTGTTCCTGTTACTTCCTAATAATTAGGAAGCTCTCCTTAAAGAGAAGAAAAAAAAAGAACCCAAACCCCAACCATGTTTGTTTTAACCACAAGGCTGGCATGAAAAATACTGTGGCGTTCTCTAAGTGTGCTTAGAGTCATGCTACCGGAGTACCAGAGCTTTTAGCACCAAACTAAGTTAGGTGTTGGAATACTGGGTATAAGGTGCAGGGTTAGGTTTGTTGCCGGAAGAAAGGGCGTGTGTTAGTGTCAGTTGATTGCCTTTTGATATTACTTGATACATTTATATTGATAAATTATACTTCCAGTCTAGATTCTTTATGGGCATTTCTGGATCAGCCGTAGTTACATCATGTCAGTCGACACTTTTCAAAGCGGTCATAACCTAATCATGGTTGGAAGATACAGGGTTGCTTGCAAATGGATCTAGCTCCACATTAAAAAAAAACAACCCAGTGATTATTTCAAATAGCAGTTATGGCAACCTAATTTCTCAGCCTGTTTTTGCCTGAAGTCATCTGTGGTTACTATTTTCTCTTAATTTCATAGTGGTCTTCAGTCTTCAAGAGGATTGATCTACTGGTCTAGCTCTGAACGAATGACAGTGGTTTTATGTCTACTTACTTGTTTGATTTCTATTTGGAAATATGTTGTCTGCATAGTCATATAAACAGGAATGGGAAGAAATGGAAGAAAAAATAAAAAATGCCTTTTTTTAATGAGAAAACATATATTACGTGGGAAAGCAACGTTTCATTTGGCACGTGGACGTTTTTGAGTTTTCTCTTTTCACCCTGTTAATGAAATAGGGTGAAATGAAAATAATGAAAGAGGCATGGAATGAAAATAATTATTTTAACCACAGAACTGAGTAAAGTATGGATAACAACAACTAAAAATCAGTTTGCTGTTTTGTAAAATTGAAATCTCTGTATGAGAAATATGTACCTCCTTTCATCATTACATTTTGTTTTAGCATAAGAAGTCAACACCGTAGATTGCAACTTAGCATTTCATTGCCTCTTATATAAATACACTCATAAAAGAATTAAGTAATGTTTTGGTACTACAGGAGGATCTTGAACAGGAATGTTTTGTTAAGGTGCTAGTGCATCATAATTAGGAAACACGCAAAATTATCAACCTCAATTCTGTCTTCGTTAGCTGTACCTCATACAAATCCCAGTTTACAGGGAGAAGTGGCTATGCACAGTACTCTTCATGAGTGCTCTTCATGAGCTTCTTCGTGCCTTTCAACAACTTGCCACTAATTTTGCCCAGTGTACGTATTGATATAACACCATTCTAACATTCCATTACGTTTACATTCTGGTAAGAAAACACATGTGAGCACTTCTGATTTGCTTTTCTGCTTTCCCTTAGACCTTCATCCACAAAACCTCTACAGCTACTGTGGTGTAGAACCAGGGTTTTCATATGCTGACTTTCTTCTAAATATACCAAACTGAATGCTCTTGAGAGTAAATCTTTTCAGTCCGTATGATCAGTTTATGTAATAGCCCAAGAATCAAATGCAGCCACTCATTTTTATAGCCATGATGCTGTTCTTAATCTCCATAAAACTCACTATCTACATACAGCAGTTTGAGTATTTTAAAGAGTTAGTTTCCTTTGTTATTACAATTTATGCCACAGTAAAAATGCATTTATTGTTTAATTTTCAATGTGTAGACTTTTTACTTTTGCATAGCTATCCTGGGAAGGTATTGATTTATACTTTTATATTTAGTTTCATACTTGGTTGCATCAGGCATTTCAGTGCCTGTGAAATGAACTGTGTGTGCTAACACAGGAAGGCAAACTATGGCATCTGCCAGTAAAGGCTGCAGAAAGAACACTGCTCTTGTACAGCAAATATCACAGCGACCCTCTTGTTCCCTTCTTGTGCAGGGAATTAAGACGTCAACGTATAAACCTGCTGGGTTTATGTAGAAGTCAGAGTGGTCTGCCTTTGGCACAGAGATTTCTGTGTGTTGTAGTCCTGTACATATAAGATGCACACTTCCTCACTGATTATTTTTAACAGCTGTCAAAGCAGAATTTTGTGTAGTCAAGTGCGCAGCCTTCTATGTAATTGCATGTGTAGGGTATGGATAATCAGAGTTCTGTCCAATGGTAGGTACACCCCCTTTTTGTCAGGAAGAATTAGGCTAACTAAATCCACAGCCTAGGTGCAGGTGTGTTGTGTATTTCTGAGCTTTGCTGTACTTTTGCCTGACACCTGTAATTGTGTACTTTCCCTTTAGGAAGCTAATTTCTCTTCGTCCTTATTTTATATGCCTCTTGTCATTTACTACCTTACTTTCAGGAGCAGCCTTTAGTGCCAGCTTTCCATGTTAACATGAGGACATCAGCAGTTCATTATGGGGCACAGTCTAATGCTGGCTGTAGAAACAGTAGCTGAACTGACCAGCAGGAATTCTGTGAGACAACTGTGTGCTGACATCAGGTGGCAGTTTGTTCCTGCATGTCTCTGTACCAAAGATACTAGTGTGGAGCACAGTTCTGCTTTATCTGGCTTTCAGTGTCGTAGTATTCTTTAAGCACATGACAGCTGCATGCACTGACTAGGGAGCTGTTCTAGCATGAGTAGAGTTCAAACAAATGGGCAAATCTAGCCTTCCAATGTATCAAATATAGTTAAATTCCCACCTTTCTCACTGGTAGCTGGGCACTGCAAACGTCTTGACTGAGTGAAAGACTTCACAAAGTGCTTTGTGATGCCTGGGAGGGATCAGACAATATGTGAAGATTTTCTTGTCACCTTGATGTAACTTTCATCCCTGGTTCACTTGAGCATTTAATTTAAGGAGAGAAAGGCAAATTCAGGTTGAAATATTTTGCTGACACTTTACAAAAATAAAAACAAAATAATGCATAGGAGGTACAGTTAAAGGAGCTGCACTTTAGTCCTCTGTTTACTACTGTGTTTACTACTTACCTATAGAATCAGAAGGTGAAGAGTTTACAGAACATTATAAAAAGGTTTGTTCAATAATCATCAAATAATCAGCAAGCAGAATCAATTCACTATTAAAAAGTGAGAGCTACTTCTAATCTGAGAATTCAGAAATAGGTTTATACTTTATTTTTTATGCCAATTCTGCTTTTTCTTGTTTATATACTGTATATAGTGAATGAAGGGATTCAGTAAGGTGGTCAAATAGAAAGCATGAATGCAAAATGCAGTAAAATGCAACAGACTTTTGTGCTGACCGGGTAAAGCAGAATCTCAGGTTTTATTTGACGTGGCTGTGCCTTGTGTAACAGTGGTCAAACAGCTAGACTCTGACCTGTCCTGGGCTTCAGCTTGGTGAATGGTGGGGACAATAAAGAAATGTTAAATCAGCAATACTTTTCCCCTATGTCCATAAGGTGTGCACTCTTTTGCCCATAACACAATTTAGACTGTAACAGAATATTTTACCTTAACATGCAGTTTAGCTTTCAAATAGCAGTACATATGAAAGGGACAAAGATGATTAGTCCTTGTGCTTGTATTTACTGCTTGGTTTTCCTTACTGAGCAGTTTTTCATTTTTTCATCATCTTGCCAGTCATTCCTTCATAACAGTCTTTAAACAAGAAAAAATTCCTTCCCTTCTCTTCCCTGCCCAGCATTCTGGAAAGTGTCCAATAAGCATGTTGAGCTATGAAGAGATCATTGAGACTATCATGCAGTGTCAATGGCCTGGATTTTGCTTTTTCTTATGTTAATCTTTTTTGGACACTACCACCATTTGATTGATAAGAGTTATATTAATAAATTTGCTGTTAGTAAGAGGAAAATCAGGCCCACAGAGAGCTGAAATAAAGATTTAATTAGAAGAAATAAGCTACTGACTGTGCAGAATTACGCAGGTGAAATACTCGAAAGCTTGCATATAAATTAAGAGTTAAACATCCTATTGACTTTTTCTCTGCAGACAAAACTGGGATTAATATCTTTATAGTTGTGTATGTCCCAGCAAAGGGATTAATAACAGGAGAGAATCACAGAAAAGAGTCAAGAAATTTGTCTTTACTGCTTCATATAGTTTGGATGAAATTCTGCTTTTGGCATCACGGGACTCAGGAAAACTTCCTGAATATTGCTGGCTTTACCCAAGGATTGATGGAAGCAGTGCTAGGCTCAGAAGATAGAAGACAGAAGTGTTCTTGCTTTCTTTAATAACGTTTTAAAAGCAGATTTCCCATGTAGTTTGAATCCCAAAGGATTCCAATATTCTGCTTCAGTTTTAAAAGTGATTTAATTTTGGTATGTGATACCTGTTTACTTTAAAAACCTACTCAGAATTTGCGATCTTGCAGTTAGGAGAACAAATTGCTGATGAAGTTGAATTACTTTATGATTTTTTACAAGCTGATGTCTTCTTTCTTGAGCACAGAAGAAATCAGCAACTGGAAAATGTCATCCTCCCACGCTTCTCTGCCAGAAAAACTCTTCTGAATCTCTTCCCAAAGCCACACGCAAATGCTGTTCAGTGCAGGGTTAAGCCACAGCCCGTGTTCCGTTTGCCATCATTTCTTCCACTTAGTTATATCTACCTGGTTCAGCAGCTTAACCCAAATTCCTTCTTAATGAAACCAGCCTTTTCCGAAGCTTTCAGCAGGCAGAAGAGTTGGTAACCCATTAGCAAACAT